AAAAAAAAAAAACGAAAAAAAAGAGTCAGACCACACGTGAGGAGGCGTGTCAATATATGATAAAAGTGTCCTCTCTCTAACAACTTAAGCTTTTAGATGAGGTGGTTCCACAACCAAACAAATTCTTACCTACTTTTTTTGCACTGATGTGTTCAGAAAAAGACCAATTAATGGATGTAGGGCTGTTACTTTCTCCTCTTGTTTTACTTATTTTCTTCCCTTTGCCAAACAGTGTAGAATTTCTGCTCCCAACCTCCTCAGGCTTCTATGTTCTCACCCCCTTCCCTCCTTTTTTTCTGTTTTTGATAGGTATTGACTTCCACCATCTTCTTTCATGCTTTTCAGTTTCACTTAGTTTTATATTGGTGTTTGTGTTACGACAAATTTTTTTTTTTACTAAAGAAGTTAGCTTAGATATAGTATATAAATTAACTTTTGATTGGTTGGTTCAACTTAAGATAAACTTTTCTTTCATAAGTTTAACTTAAGATAATTTTCTCAGTTCCCTTGTGTATTGCATACAACACCTGATTTGCATTTCTTACTCGTTAGAGAGAGCACATGGTGATAATGTGTGGGAAAGCTCAAGTTCTTCTGGGTTCTGCTTCTTTTTTCTTCATCTTGATGCATTCATCTCTACTGCGGAGGATGGGTTTGCAGAGGGGTGTGAAGATACACTTTTCAAAAGTATAATATCTATTTGTTCATATGACCTAAAAAGTTACTTTGTGCAGGTTAATGCTCAAACAGAAGAAGATGTCTGTCCGTTGGTATCAGCTGTAGCAGCCAATTCATTGCCTTGCGTGGAACTGTTAGTAAAGGTCAATAAAATTATATTTTCTCTGTTTCACTATATGTACTTTAAATTGCTGAATCCCCAATTGAGCATCCTCAAGAAGCTGTGTTGCAGAAAACATGTTGTGCTGTTTGATGCATTATCATTCTGCTCTTTGCTATGTGTTGGAAGTTGGAACCATGCAAATTTTGTGTTAGATCAGACCATGCAAATTTTGTGTTAGATCAAACCACAAGAAACTGCTTTGATCATACAAGAGCTATGTGAGACTTGGTTCTATTACACCTTAGAGTTTGAGTTCTTTCCTGAAACTCTCAACATTTATGCTGCTATATTAAAGGGCAGCCTAGTGCACTAAGCTCCCGCTATGCGCGGGTCCGGGGAAGGGCCGGACCACAAGGGTCTATCGTATGCAGGCTTACCCTGCATTTCTGCAAGAGGCTGTTTCCACGGCTCGAACCCGTGACCTCCAGGTCATACATGCTGCTATATTATCTTTTTAAATATTTTTTGAATAAATTGAAGGTTAAACATGCTTAAAAGGATAAAACAAGGCCTATAGAGATAACCCTAAAATGAAGAGTAAAAGTTGTGTTTGGAGATGAAACACAACTGATTTTACTTGAGAACTCCTAAAACCTATTTTCAAACTTCAAATTCTAGATTTCAAGTTTGGAGTTTAAATAATGGGCCAATTTGATAAACAAACAATTATTTGAAACAATCTTTTGCTTTCTTTCCCTTTTGCCTTTCGGGAAAAATTGGTCCCCTGAAAATACGTATGGAACAAGTTTTGATCTTCTCTGCTTCTTGCAGCAGTTTATAATGGCTCACAGCCATGTCGTATTTATTTTAATGATTTTCTTTTAATTTTCCCTTTGTTTCTAAGGTGTAGGAGAGGCTTTGCTTAGGTTTATGAATTTTGTGCATCTTACTTTTCAAGGCATAAGCCAAAGCAAGAACTCAACTACCTTTGCTTTGGATTTTCTATGTTGCGTGGTTAAACGTGCCATCTGTCTACTCAAGGCTTAACTTGTTTTGTGCTACCCTACAGGCAGGAGCTGATGTCAATGTTAGGGCTGGTGAAGCAACCCCTTTGCTCATTGCTGCTCATAATGGTAGTGCAGAAATTATTAAGTGCTTACTACAAGCTGGAGCTGATCCTAATGCTGCTGATGAGGTAACTGAAAAGAAAATTTTACAGAATATAATGTTCTTTGTTGTTTTCACATTTTTTTGGAAGAAATTCTAAGGAATCCTTCTTCTTTCAATTGTTGGAAAGATGATTCCAAACAATTTAAGTTTCTTTTCGTTTGTTCTGTTTATCTGCAAGCACGTGTGAATTATATTCCTTATTATCACTTTCTAGTCTACTGCCCTCTAATTCTTTTTCAGATTTGAAATGAATATTTCGGTCTGGGAATCCAGATCTCTTGTAAAATCTAGGTACCTTATTCATCTGTTCCGAGGGATTACTGAAGTTGAAGAATATGGTCTTAATTACTCTTAAACCTGGACCTACAGCGAGAACTAATAATCTTAGGGTCATGGGTCACTGGTTTATTGTTATGTTGAGAAAACTAATTCTATTTTGACTTCATAATTATATTGTAAAAATTTTAATTCTGGGTTCCTCAAATAAATAGTTTGCAAATAAAATATATAACAAAAGTTGTTGTATTAGAAAAGCAATCCCTTAACTCCATTTAAACAAACATTTCACATTTCAAATATGTAAGATTGAGTTAACAAAAAACTGCATTCTGTAATATGTCCGTGAAGCTTTTTTACAGCTTACCTTTTGCTGAAGGCTCAATTATCTCATGCCTTCTGGATTCATCATTCATTGTGGTGAAAATCGGCATCTATAAATGAAAAGGCTAGTGTATTACGTGAGATGCCGCGGCAGAAGTGACTTGAAGGGGCCTGGAGTCTTCTTTCTGTCCTGGTCTACTGTATCTTCAACTTAGTAATATGTTATTCATTCTGATCAAATTTAGGGACCTGTTGTCTGGTTATTTAACATATATTCGTATGGATTCCGTGGTATTCGGAACTTTCTTCTGGGTGAACACAGAACTTTAATCATGAATTTTGTTGATTTTTGAACAAGTCATTGGAAAAAAAATCAATTAGCAATTTCCACAAGGACTGTTAATTGAATACCGAAATATAACTTTTGCTATCTCTATAGGATGGTAACAAGCCAGTACATGTTGCAGCTACAAGGGGCTGTCGGCCGGCTGTTGAAGCTTTGTTCGCAGTCACACCACGGATTCAGAGTGTTCGAGAATGGAGTGTGGATGGACTCATTAAGTTTATGCAATCTGAGCCTATCCTATCTGAAACTAGGATAAAACAGGTACTTAATTTGTCCTTCTGTAAGATAAATCGCAGCTGGTTTTGGTCTTGTGTAGGAGTTGCTTGCAAATATTGATATAGCTCTGTGACTATTTCCTTTCCTTCTCATGCAAATTTCAGCTTCTTTTTCTTTGTTTACACGGTGATAATTGCAGGAAAGAACAGAAGCTGGGAGGGAACCAAGCAAGAGAGAAACTATTATTCCAAAGAAAGATTTACCAGAGGTCTGTTATTGTGGTAACTGTTATTTATATGTGTGAATTTTTGGCCATCCCGTTATCAAATTATACGTGATAAGTATCAACTCCCTCCTTCTGTTACATTTATTTAGATTTGCCTTTTTGTATAATGTCAAGAGTGGAATATTTTCACATGTTTTTCTAGTTTTGTCCTTACCATAATAATCATTAACAGAAGTGAATAAGCTTATCGTGAAGGGTAGTTCTGGAACTAAAGTAAACCATTTGTGAAAATGGAACAAAGTGAGCATATTTTCCCCTTATGTATGTATTATTTTCTGTTCTTGCATTTCTTCTGGTGAAGCACTCTTGAAGACAGATTGGAAATTCTCTCATCGTGAATATGACAATACATCCGTGTAAGATATAGGAAACAAATTGAATTTGCATGTGCAATTATATGTAGTAAAAAACATAATGATACTGCTTCTGAGGACAAGGGAATTCATGTCTTCAAGAAGTGCCAATGAACAATGTTGTGGGAACAGTTCAAGTTTTGCTTACGGTACTTGACACAGTGAAACACTTCCTTGGGCTGCAAAATGCATATTGTCTCTTATAGTCAGTGAAATCATACCGGCAATGTGGTACCAGACACCCATTTCAGCTGACTTCAAATTGGAAAGAGGATCAATATCTTAATATACTCTTTGTTTTTACTTGTATGCATCTCTTTCATTTGAAGTATCTCAGTGTGGACACCATCTTTTGTTGGGGAAACAGTTTACAGAGTAGTGCTAAATATCTTGCATCGGCATTATTAATTGATCTGCAGGTGACTCCTGAAGCAAAGAAGAAAGCTGCAGATGCGAAAGCGAGGGGAGATGAGGCATTTAAGAGGAAGGATTACACTATGGCTGTGGATGCTTATACACAGGTACTACATGTTAGGCTTATTGGATTCCTTTTGAATTCCCACCTCTCCCCCTCCCCCCTGTAAAACACATGCGAAAGGGAAAAAGAAAGCAGAAGATAATGATGAACGGATGTAATTATCCTCTTCACGGTGCAAGTATATGGATTAGATTTTGACAATGGTCTGCTGGTGATAGTTATTATAAAACAGTGTGTATGCATCACTTACAGGGCTCTCTTGTATTCTGCTGATAATCTGCAGGCAATCGATTTTGATCCAACTGATGGCATTCTGTATTCGAATAGAAGTCTTTGTTGGATCCGCTTGGGGCAAGCTGAACATGCTTTAAGTGATGCCAAGGCCTGCAGACAACTTAGACCGGATTGGGCAAAAGCTTGTTTTCGGGAAGGTGCAGCTCTACGGCTATTGCAGGCATGCCCTTAGTCCTCCTGGAGTCAAATATTGCGAACTTATATACCCATATTTTCTGATATTCTAATATTTCCTTCTCAGAGGTTTGAAGATGCAGCCAATGCTTTCTATGAGGGGGTACAGATCGACCCTGAAAGTATGGAGCTCGCAACTGCTTTCAGGTATGCATGTTGAAACTCGAAGCTCTTTTTTTAAAAGTAACTGTAGATGATATTTCTCTAGCATCATTTTATCGTAGAACCTTAGTCTAATGCAGTAGTTTCTATAACCAAACTTTTCTCATTGTTGTGAGGTACAAATTTGAATTGCAGGGAAGCTGTTGAGGCTGGTAGAAAATTTCATGGCACGAATAAGAAAAATTCTCAGTCATCCAGGAGTTAGTGGTGTTAAAAAGTGCATAATGACAGGACTTCTGCCTGAGCAAGTAGATAATTTTATCGGACATGCCCTTTTTTTGGTAGTTTCAGAATGTATCATGTGATGTTTTTCCCTCTAGTGATTTGTTCTGTTGCATCTTCAGAAATTTATACTCACAATATAATTTCTTTTTTCTGAGGTTCCTCCCACAGATCTCAAGTTTTTCCTTTTAGTATTTTTTTATTTTTATTTTTACTTATGTTTATCTTTTTTAAGTGGAGGATCAGGCTTGGGTTATACAAACTATACAAGGAACAATGCTATGTTCCAAGCTCCTTTACTTTTTTTTCTCTCGAAGGTATATGAAAAAATTCCATTAATATTATCTAAATCAAATTCAAACGAGTTACTTTAGACCATTCAATATCTTTTCCGTGGTGGTGAAAAAGCTATACAAAGCATTGTCTTTAAAGGAGACAATGGACTCGTGCAGTTTTCTGTAAAGGCCTAAAGAAAGTGATGAAAAAGTCCTTTCCTTTATAGAAGTAGGGGGTATAATAAAGGCAAAATAGGCCACAATGTACTTAAAAGGCCAACTAGTGTTTAATTGAAGACCATGTGTTAACAGGTGTTTTTTAGGTCTTGTATTTAAAACATTTGAATATATGATATTTTNAATCTCTTCTTTCAGAAAAATGCACTTATCTATAACTAGGGCTGATTTGTTACTCCTCAACTGACAACAGAAAGCAAGCCACCTTCAGCAGCCTCATTCTCATCCAAGAACAAGTCCCCAGTTCCCCTTAACGACCCGTGCAGGCCCAAAACACAAAACCCAATAATCAAAGCAACCAAAACGTTGAGACCCACATGAGTAAACGCCAAGGCAATGACAGTAACCAAACCCAAACCAACCAAAACAAGACGATCGTCTAAATGGGCCCCCAATATTACAATTGGTTCTTCACTGAAGTAATATAACCAAGCTATAGATACAACTAAGAAGACGATCATGGAGATTGGGTTGTATATAAGGCTGAGGAAGATAATGAGGAGGATTACCATGGCGTAGTTGACGCGAAAGTAGTTGAGGTTGCGCCTCACGCGCGATATGGCTTCGGAGTAGTTGTAGGGGAGGGAGAAGAGGGTGTAGTCGAAGAACACGCGCCATGGACGGCGCGCGGCAGTGTTGGATCTGGTTGTTGAGAGGAAGGTGGTGGAGGGGCGGGGTGGTTGTGGGGGTAGTGGACCGGGTGGTGGTGGACGAGGGGGTTTTCTGGCTGAATGAGTTGTAGGGGGTGGTGGTGGGGTGGAAGTTGGAAGTGTGCCATAATTGGAGGGCTTTTCAGACATTGCAATTATTTGCTGTTTTTGAGTTTTGGAGATGGATTCAGCTGATGGATTTTGGATTCTCAGTATATTCTCTCTTTCAGCTTCTTGTGTATTTTCCTTTTATAGCTTAGATTAGAAGTTGGAAAAATGGTCGGAGAAAAGAAATATAGAAGTTGGAAAAACGGAGGATGAGGTGGGAGTAGACTGACAGCCTGACGATGAATTGTCCTTTTGCCTTTTGACCTTTTTACCAAAATCTGACAGCCCATTGCTCCGGCCGACGTGTACCAACTTATATGAATCATTAAGTTTCATCTACACTTCTTAAAATATTGTTTGGATTTCATATTAAGTTAGAGACGAATGTTCAAGACGACCTCCTCAAAATTGACCTCTTCAAGATTTAAATTGGTCAAGTGATCTCCTATTTTATTTCTCAAATTCTTTTGGGTTGAAAAATAGCTAAATGAGCAGGTTAAGGTAGATAAGGTCTTTTTAACACTTTTAAAACCTGTGGGTCACATATAGAGAAATAATATTTCTTTTTTATTTTTTCGCCAATTTCTCTTTCATCTCTCTACTCTCTTTACTCTCTCTTCTCTCTCACTCAAACCCCTCGACCACGGTGGTTTCCGACGGGAAGGGACAAGAATCAAGCTTCGATTTTGGGTGAAATTATCTCTATAGACCCAACAAACATTGTATTGTTGCTCAAAACGCGTCAATTTTGGTAAATCCTAATTTTTTTTGTTTCGTTTCTTAGATTTGTGACTTCGAATTTTGTAGAGTGATTCGTTCTTGTGCATGTTCAAGATCGATTGGGTTGTGTATAACTATATCTTATATGGCATGGGTGGTGGTTATATTTGCTTCTTGGACTACCTATGTGCTCTATATGTTAGAATTTTGTCGTAACTGACGACCTAATGTTTATTGATAAACATGTGGTCGATTGTCTTATGGTCATAGATGTTTGCTGGAATTGGGGCTTATATTTCTTATTCCGATCATAAGTTTCAAATTATTAAATGTGACATTGCATATTTGCATGTAGGTAACATAAGGAAGAAATCAATTGCTAAGAAGCATATTCCTTCGGCTACGAAGGCAATTGCACAACCTTCAAAGCCTCCAAACAGGAAAGGAAATGCAGAAACACAAAAAACATCGCCAAGTAAAGCAAAAACTAAGCTTTCAAAAACTGCTACCAGGAAACGAAATGTAGATACTTCTAAAGCTTCTCCTAGTAAAGTAAATATTGCGATATCTAAGCATGATATGAGGAAAATGAACAAAGAGCCATCAAAGTCTACTGGTAAAAAAAGAACAAGATCAAGGTCTAGATTAGTTGACGAGGACATACCAGTTAGTAAAAAGTCTGTTTCAATGAGTTTAGCATTAGAGGGTGTTGATGATGAGGAGGAAGAAGACTCGGACAGAAATTCAGCACAAACTCAAATGGAAGAACATATTTCTGAAAAATAATTGTCGAAGAAGAAAATGACAGTGATGATGAAGCTTTAGGTGGGGAGGATGATAAAAATGGTGATGCTGCTGCTTAGAAGGTTGATAAAAATGCTGAAGAAGAAAAAGCAGAAGATGTAGTAGAAGAAGAAAATGATGATGATGATGAACAACTTGAAGATGGTCTGGAAAGTGAAACACATGCATTATTTGAAGGTGACAAGGATGCTCTGTCAATTCCTGTGTTTGTAAGGGTGATCGACACATCTAAATACAAATTCAAGACTTTTCTAAGTAAGCAAAGACGTTTTCCGGCCAAGATTAGTGTGAGGTCTAGGATCAATTTCTTCCATGAGTTCAAGGATAAACTTAGAACAATCAAATTGATGGAATAGTTTAATAGTAGTTGTTTTGGACGGTTTGCAAAACTTTCAGAGCACTGGACACAGTTCAATGGACAACTTGTCAATTCCCTGCTGATTCGCCAAATTTATTGCGCGAAGAAGAGCGAGTTATGGTTTTTAGTTGGAGACAATCCTGTTCACTTTGGATTGAAGGAGTTTGCTATAATGACTGGATTGAACTGTAGTGCCAAACCCAGTAAAGAAGAAATAAAGAAAAGTGATATATGATGGCGAAATATTTTGCGATAAAGTTTGCCAGTCTAGCAAGAAGGGACAGAGTTGCTTTTGAAAGAGTTGAAGTCCAAGAGGTTTGACATAGAAGAGAGGTTTAAGATTGCATTGGTATGGTTTGTCCATTCAGTTTTGCTTGCAAGGGATAACATAGCGCGTATCGATAAGAAGTAGATTTGTATGGCTGGCAATTTGGAAGTTTTTATGAAATATCCATGGGGCAAGGAGTGTTTTAAGCTTAAAATTGAGTACTTGAATAAGGATATGTTTCCAATGTACAAATCATATGTGAGCAAGAGTAAGAAAAACAAAATCTCTAATAAAAAGTCCAAATCGGCTAGTTATACCCTGTACGACTTCCCATGGGCATTCATGGTAAGTATTAAAAAAATCTTCTCAAAATTTTTTTGCAGTTGAGTACTATTATTTTATTTCCTACAGAAAAAATAATAATAAAATATAGGCATAGGCATACGAAGCAATTCTGCTATTTGGTCGTAGTGCCGAGAAATCAAAGGTCGTACCGATACCGCTGCCAAGGATGTTGAGATGGCACAACAAGAAAGTGACATCTGACCCTGATTGGGATCCCTTTAAGTAGATAGTTGATAACCCTGGTGTGGTAAGATAGAGAGTGCAATAACACTCAATCAGTAGATTAGAATCAACCAAAGTAGGAGATTATTATAGGCCTCGTGTCTATTTTTTTTGTATTGCTTGTCTATTGACTTCGATCTATGCTATATTTCAGGAGGTGAACCCTTACCTTATTCCTACCCTACGTGATATGGATGTGGACTACATGAAAAATTTGGTACCATACGATGATGAGGTAGCGGATTCTATAATCGACCAGCTAGCAGTTGATTTGGAATGGGTGACTGCCATTAAAAAGGCACATGGTGCAGTGATCTTAGAGACCAATGATGAAGTTGACTTTGCTGATGATGACCCTTTGGGTGGGAGTATTCCTGGTTCACCACTAGTTGATGGTTTGTTTTTGATATTGGTAGATGAAGACCATGCATGATGTGCAATGCTCAGCCAAGTGATACAGAAGTGCGTGAAGAGTTGAAGATTGATAATAAAAAATTGGATAAGGTGTTGAAGATCCTTGGGGAGATGCAAAATAAGAATGAGATCCCTTCTAAAGTAGTTGAGTCATCTTGGTACATTGTTACAAGATTGCAAAGCAGATTGAGGAATGCTCCAATTTCTGCAAGCAAGATGAGGAAGCTGGAACAAATTAAGAAAAAGAAACCAAAGGTAGACGTACTCAAACCAGTTTCGGAGGAAGATAAGAAACTGTCATGTGAATGATTTGACAAGAAGGAGAAGTTTTCCAAAAACGTCTTGACTGGCAGCTATGGTTGGAGGTTTTTTGAGCAGCTGTGTGGTGTTAACCCATTCTTTTTCATTTTTGTAAGTCCCTTAATCACTGCGTGTATTATTTTTAGTAGTTCCATATTTAACGTATATATTTTAAATAATATTTAGCATGTGGAGGAACTTTTGGCACTGATGCGTGTACGAAACATAAAACATCCACGTTTTTATGGCCGTAGTCATGTTGTTATGGATATTGCATTATGAAACAATATGTGCACCGCATGGGATGAGATCAAGGAGGCTGCCAGTAAAGAGGGAAAGGATTTGGACTTTTCTCAGACAGTTGATGCTTGCCAAGACTTGTGCCTTAAACACCTAATGCTATATCCTCAATGAAGTATTCCAAAACTTAGGGTTGTGGAGTGGTGCAAGGCTAAGGTGATGTACTGTGAGTTACAAATTAATAACAAGTATTTTGTGCATGTTGTTTTTCACTTGGTAGAGGGTTTGATTCGAATTTATGATAGCAATGTCAGTTTGTATGATGATGGTAAACTAGAAGAATTTGTACAACCCCTCACACTCATGATGCCTAGGATTTTGATGAAAACTGGCCAGTTTACAAACCTAGGCCAAGATGTACTTACGAAGGAATGGTCCTGGGAGCATATTATGGATGTGCCATCCATTCAGCAAAGGTAAATTAAATGAGTCATCCATTATGTTTTACTCATTGCTCTAGTTTCTTTAATAACTAATTGTGTCTTTGATTATTGTAGTGAAAGCAGTGGAGCATATGTAGTGAAGGTCATTGACTTCCTTCTAACTGATACGCCGCTGGTACAATTTAATAACAAGCAAATAAAATTGTTCAGGGTAAAATTTGCCATGGATATCTTCAGGGGTAGGATGGACCCTTCTTAGTTTTATTAGTGTAATTTATGTTTGTGTTGGTCATGGAATAAAATCATTTTTGGTGAACTTGTAGTAATTTATGATATTTGCATCTACCTCTATGTAATGAAACTACCTTTATGCCGATTAACTATTGATGTTGTAATTTTTGTTTCCTTAGCACTTCCTTTTTGTATTACAACAGGCAACTAGAGGTTGCGTAATATACAACGTGTCCAATAACAAATTAGCTATCTGGTTTCGTAATAGACACTGGGTCCATCAATAAACTAGCTACTTGATTGCATAATGGACTCAAAGTCACGTATAATATCTTCATCAAATATAACATTGCATTAGACAACTAGAGGTTGCATAATAGATACTGAGCCCATCAATAAACTAGCTATTTGGTTGCGTAATAGACTCAAAGTCGCGTCTAATAACTTCAACAAATTTAACATTACATTAGTATAATATTACATAATCCAAAAGACTTTCAACAAACAAACTTACAGTAATTAAACTATTCCTACCAACAACAAACTCATGTTCCTTCTCACTTCATCATCCAAGCTGCCACGAATCTGAAAACTACGCACAAGAGCATAACCCATTTATTCAACCTCATTTCATTCATCCTAACCTTCCCTCCGACATAATCATTTACAGGAATATGCCCTCCCTCCAGTTCAATCCCTCCATCATCATCATCATCCTCATCCTCATGAACATCTATTGCTAATATATTTTCAAGTTCTGCCACCTTCATCTGCAGAATAATTTATTCACGCCTAAGAGCGTCCTTTTCACACTTCAAAAAACTGATAAGGTCAGCAATCCTTAGATCTAGTAGATCATCATCCCATTCCCAACATTGATATCTTTTACCCTATCGAATAAAATGAGAAAAATAATTTATTAGTTAAATTAAATGCCTAAAATTAAAAAGAGGCGAACCTGTGGAATTTATCTTACCTTAGGTTTGGAATATTTTGAGAATCGCCTGCCATCATTCACCAGAGTTGTAGCTATG